CCCTCTAAACAGGCATTTCAGACCCTTCCAGAATAAAAGTTACTTCAGCTTTGCAAACTCTGTCTTTTGCATTGTCTGGCTTTCTTTTGTAGCTAGCTTTGATTACATATAAGCAGGGGCTAACTTTCTCTCCCCCAAAATCTCATGTCTTCAAGCTCACACACTGTTTTTTGTCATGGTCTCCTCAGTATGGTAATGCAAACAGGCAGAGCCCCTAGAATAATGAGACAGGCACAAGCTTAGCACCAAGACAACATGAATTACTAACAGGAAAAAAGATTATCTACAACTCCCTTCTGACTAGTGCTGTTTATTCTACCCAGATAGGTTTTTCTTCCTCAGGCCATGTCCTTCCTCCCGGGTTTATTCCTTCAGTCTGGAGTCCTCCTCTGAGAAGATCTACTGCCTGTTCTGCACCTGTACATGCCACATGTGCAGAAACACACAAAGCAAATAACAGCTCTGATGCAGTATTTTGGCTCATTACACTGATAAAAATCTCACCCCTCTCATCCATTTTTGGAGGATTAAAACCATTAGAGAAGGGACATGCTGCCAACACTTTCAGAAGAAGGGGAGAGAGGCGAGGTAGAAATGTTTCCACCATCCATGCCAAGGGCATAAACTCCTTTCTGTTATGACAAGGGAAATTGTCACAACTTTGTACTGATTGATGAAAGTATTTTCCTTTATATATCACTGAAGGCAAGAGAAATTGTATTGTTTCTTTGTTACCAGACTAGTAAAAATACTGCCACAACCACAGTACAAAAAGTCAGTGTGTAATATTATGTCACAGTGTATAATATTATGTATACACAGGCATGCACTTAGAACTTACTTAAAATATTTTTTTCTGATTTTGCAAGACTATAGTTACACATGCGCTTGCCTCTGTGCTTACTACTTTTTCCCTTAAAACTGACTCTGTGGAGATAAAAGCAACGGAGTCTGATCTGTAGCCATTTGCTTGACTCTCTCCCCAGATTCTCATCTAAGTTACAGAGGAAGCTGTACTGAAGAATACATTATTGTTCCTGAATTATGTAGTGTGTCTAATTTTTAAAAAGAGAATTCAACTATTCCATTGGGAAATACCAAGGGGAGCCTTTCTGAATCTGAATCATTCTGAACCATTTTTGCTGAACAGCTGCAGTCCAAAGAAAAACATCGTTGATTTAAAACGAATAAAATGATGAAATGACAGTTTTTCCTATGCCTGAGATCACAGACACAATGCACGAGAGAGAGCCTTAAATATTGTATGTAAACAGAGCGGTAAATGTACTGAAAGTTGTTTTTGAAAGAATATGAGGGTAAAGCTGGATGACCTGACCTTGAATTGTAAATTAACTTTTAATCGTAATTTTTCATGTCACTTTTTAAAATTTATTTTCAGAAGATGCAAGCTCTCTCTGCTGAATTTTAGGAATAAAATCACTGATTCCCAAAGGGAAATCTTTTTCATTCAAGCTAATATCTTACTTAAGGGTTATTAATTCCAATAGCTGCAACTTAGTGCCAGGAAATCTGTCAAATGAAAGGAACTTCATGTCCCTGTTGTATTAAACTGAGTAACAGTTTCTTTAGATGCCTATTTTACCTTTCTCACCTTTTTTTTGAAAGGAGAGAGTACTGTTAACTACTTTTTTGTGCCTCAAACTTTGCTTGGCCTGATTTCTTTTTCACATTCTGCTCTCATTAGGCTGAGAAGCACCTCAATTGTTTTAAATGGCCCACATCCAACAGAAGTGCAAATTGGAACCATTCAACTCGCAAATCTCTTTGGTAGAGAAAACTGGGACTGATTCATACATGTGTGTATTTGTTCTTTTAATTCTGAGGCTATCACCTTTTCTAGACTGGTTGGCAATTTTCCCTCCTTTACCATAGGTATGTGTGACATAGAAGCTGAGGCTGTCCTTTCAGGATCCAAAATGAATAAATTTTAGGGAGCTTGGAGTCTTTAGGAACGTTTAAGCTATGAAAAAAGATTAATGATGCAAAAGTAAAACCAGCTGTGATTGACAGCAAAGACTGGAGAATCAGTTATAACTAACATATTATCTTTTGTTCCCTTCTGTGTATTTATTTCCAGCATTTTCCTTGTTAAATATTTATGAAAAATTATTACAGTATCAACACCATATAGACAATCTGATGTGTAATAGAATATTTAGAAATAATGATAGTAGGGTATAAATAGTTATAGTCTAGCAGACTTACCACTGCTACTACTCTACTCTAAACAGGAAACATCTTATTTGTTATACTGGTTTTTGTTTTATGTTCGCTCAAGAATACAAGAGAACATTCAAAACGCTCAAGTTATCTGCTATGCCAGTAGATACCCATTGATAATCTGCTTCAGTTGCTTTTATCTCCACAGCGCTTTTAGTAGTCATGGATGGTGCTGGACTGAGATAGAAAACTCTGATTTTCAGCATAACAACCCTCCTTCATCATCAGTAGCATGCCTGTGCCTTGGGGTAACCTCCTGTGTGGCAGAGGCACATGGTTCAGTCTCAGTACTCACTCATTCTAACCAGAGATCTGGGATATAAATGGAGATGGTACTTTTTGTGTCCATTGGAAGCTGACCTACATTACACAAGCGGTGGCACTACGTTTCTCAATATACCAGCAGTGATTATACCATCTCTTTTTAATGTTATCTTGAGTGCTTCAACATATGCATCATAACTGACGTAAGTACAATAACAGGACCATAAGGAGAATGTCAACAACTATGAAAAGCCAATAAGACCTACTTACCCAGAGATGAGTAGCATCCTATTTTCAAGTGGCAAAAATGGATGACACTCCTTACCTACAGAAGCAAGACAGATAAAAGTAACAACAGCTTGATGCTAAGGATGCAAGAGTCTTGACCCTAAGATCACGGCAGCAGGAATCCTTGAAGTGCTAAAAGCCCTGGTTCAAACTTCTCTGCTGCAAAAGTTGTTTTTGAGGATTTTTTGCAGTAAATTTAAGTAGTGGTTTCAGCAGAATCCATGGAGGAGATAGGATGCAAAACTAGCTACAGACTTACCAAATGTAGGACGAATGAAGGAAAAGCCCCCAGTCTCTGCAGAAAATAGTACCAGGCTCTGCAAAAAATGGTACAACTTAAATCACTCTCTATAGCTCAGATAAATAGAATATAATCATCAGTTTTGTTACAATGGCCTCAAAAGATAGGATTAATGAGTTTCTTAAGAGCCATAATATTTATTCTTTGCATCATATTTTGATGGTAAGACTTTTTTTTTTTTTTTTTTTTTAGCAAAACAAATTCAGGTTGCATCATATCCACTGTCTGTTTAACCAAAATGCACTATCTGATGATAGACACTTTTTATACTGAGTTACATTGCCTGTGCAGCTGTTTAAACAGTGAAGACACGCAAATGCCTGCTTGAGCCATTAGTACTAGAGGTACTGCATTCTGAATCGGACTGTACCTGGGAAAGCAATAGTTTCTTTTGCATGATTTTCATGAAACATACATATCGAGACAGAGGTACGGTGTGGATAAATCTAGAAATACAATTGGTAGAAAAATTATAAAAGAATATACATTTTAAGTCTTTTGAATAACATTTTCCCCAGGGTTTTTGCTTCTGGGTTGTGAATTTTTTTATAATGCCTACATGGGAAATTTAAGGAAAGAGATACATTTGAAAAAAAACCCCATATATTAAACAAAAAAGAATCCCTAGATTTTGCCTGCTTATGATGTGACATTCCTCTAAAGCACTAATGTGCAATGCGGTTTGACAATTTGATTATATTATTTCCAGAGAGTGGAATCGATTTTGTTCCATTTACCTGAAGCAAAAACAGTCTTCACTAAAAAGTATTCATGTTGGTTGATATTTCTTATGAAAGATTCAAAAGTGAAAAATACTGTTTAACTTGAGGAAAAAACAAAATATTCTTGATTGTCTTATGCTTTTTATTGAGTGAGTGAAGAAGAAAATGTTCGTTAAAAGTTCTAAAACTGTTACTCGCTCCTCTATAATATTCAACTTTTTTCATAAGAATAACATTTGTTCATCAAATAATTTTTGGAGAAGAAGCTTAACTTTCTGAAAAATATCATATCCACAGGACCTGTGATCTTAGATCACAGACAAGTCCCACAGGATTGGATGACGGCGGGTAAGAAATGAGGCATGTCTTTAGTACTCATTTTCTTTGTACTATTTTATCACCTATAGTTTGATTTTTAATTTAATGAACTTTTTGTATGTGTATACGATACGTGAATCAAAAGATGCTTAGAGCATAAAGAAGAGAGTAAGAAAAATTTCAGCATAAGCTTCTCAGCATTTATCATGTGAACTTCTTCATCCTGGAAATTCTAGATGGTGTTTCTGCCCTTTCCTTTTTCTTCTTTGTTTTTTTTTTTAAAGTTTTTTTTTTACTTTTTTTTTTAATTTCTGGCTTCAGTTTGCATTATCTGGTGATTAGGTTCAACTAGCTTGTAGAAGGCGGCTGCAAAAGAGGCTATCAACTTCCTTTTCCCCACAACATTTCTTGTGTTATGCGTTACATAGCAGGGCCGCTTCTGCCACATCTCCTAACCTCCGTGACTAACCTGACAAGGGAACCTTGAGAGAAAAGGAAGAAGGCAGGAAGACCAGTCTTCACCTTTAAGGTCAGGACTGTTCTTACAGCCAGCAGAGAAAGTAGTCTGTGTATTAAGTATAGCATTACTATCAACAGCACATATTCATGAAAACAACTCAGAACAAATGTTGTTTTTACTACCTTTGTATTCCTCACAGGAATATAACTATGCAGAATTCATTCCCCTACTCTCTGATATAAATGATGACCCTCTATTAATCACACAGTTTTGCGAGTGTTTTTGCATGTGTAAACTGCACAATGCTGTTTTGGGGGGGGAAATTATAGTTTAAATAATTATGAAACAGCATTTTATAAGAGATATATTCTCTTGATTTGTTTCACTGCCATGGAATGGCTGACCAGATGGAAAATATATGCACAGTTTGTCAAATGCTTTCTTACTTCAAAAAATGTAACTGTTAGTATTTCTGATTATTGCAATAACAAACATTTTTACTTCACTTTTAATCAGCAAGGATTATGTAGGGTTCAGAGGGAAGGTTTAAGGGCAATAAATGGGCATGTAGAAATGAACTTGCTTTAGCAGTTTTGTAATTGTTCAGTATTTGAATAACACCTTTTGTACATGAAATCATTTTTAATCTGAATGAAATTCTCTACTATAGCATCTGCATAAAAACTAATATCCTTGTCTACAAAACATATATCCTCATTTATTGGTCTTTTTAACACCTGAATTCACTAAAATACACTAAAATGATAAGTAATGGATACTGAGGAGAATATTGACCATTTCTAATTTAAAATTGTTTCTTTCTGGATGTGCTGAGAGATATCTATTTAGTACTCATCATATGCTTGGTCATGAACCATAACTTTAAATGTACAAAATGGCACTTAGGGAAGACTGAAGTGTTAAGATCCGCAGTGAAAATGGAATAAATATATATCACTTACAGTGTCAGTTTCACAGTATTTTGAGAAAAGAATGAATACATATTATGCCATGTGTTTCTCCCCTTACACTCTTTGTGGCATCACAGGCTTCAATATGCAGTCTTAGTAGGGCCCTGTACAACTCTGACCTTTAGAGGTTCCTTCGCTTGGATTGGCTGGTTAGTCCCATTTCCATCATTTACAGTCTCAGGTGCTGTTGTGAAAAAGGAGGGAAGAAGTTTTTCATAGATTTTGGCATGAATTAGTATTTTGGAGATCTCACATAGTACTTTGGAACATGGTGCTACGTTGTCACAATAACAGTTGTGAGAACCACAAATAGCACAGACAACACTAATTTTCTTCTTGGATTCTATAAAGAGGATAAGAATGGCAAGATGCTTGGGAGAAAGAAAAAAGAATAGATAACAATCAGGAACATATAACTTGCAAGTAGATAGAACAAGACCTTGATTATAAAATCTGTAACTATTCGATGTTTTTAGGCCTATTTGCCATTCTGTATCTTTTTTTTATTGTTGTTAAACCTTTCAGCCTTTGCAATCTCCTTTTCCATAAAGAGCCAAAATAGACCAACAAGAACCAATGAAAAGATACCTGATTGCTTTAAAATGTGGTAAAAAGTACACCAGAAGCCTAGCAGCTTTTTAGAAGCAGAAAAAACAGCTGCAATCTGGTACATTAAACTAATGATGCGCTGTTAAGTCATGGCTACAAAACAGACAGATGGCAGCAGATGGCCATACATTTGTGAAATGAAGTAGGATTTCAATGCTCTGACCTTCTGAACCAGAATCCCAGTGGCTCACAGAAACTCAGTACTAGTTTGACAGAGTGTCTCACTATGGCTTCATGGCCTACTTACAGGTTAAAAAAGAAAAAGAAAATTGTTCACTGATACCTTTCTAGAATAAAAATAGAGGTAACTGGAAAATAGATTGCAAGAATGAAGTATAAACCTGCCAGAAACCAGAAATTCTGTTTATAATATCCCATATTTCAAAGAGCAAAGATATATTTGTTATTATGGTTTGTTTTTTTGTTTTTAAAGTGGGATCTCAGTCTGCTTATGGTTTTATGAAAAACAGTTACAGATGTAGATTAGCATATGGTTTCAGCTTCAATTAATATATTTAGAGGGTTGTTTTATTTTAAAACTTTGAGCGTGGATACTCACACACACAGAGATTTCCAGTAACTTCAGTGCATCACACATCTAAGGCAGGAATTACATTTATGCTGATCCCTTTCCAAACCAGCAGGACATATGCAAGTGAGCGCAGGAACATATCACGCGACTGTCAGTCTCCAGTAGAATTTTGGCAAGAACTTGCCACAGAAGCTATTGATAACTCCTGTATGAGCAGAAATAATATTTTAGAGCAAAAAATTTAACTTTCATTCTGCCAGCAGAACCCACGTTGTTTAAAAATACTTGACTATGCATGAGGTTTAGAGTGGAAAGTAGCTAAACTGTAAAAATCGGATTGCTAACAAAAATAACAAAGTTTAGGTCACTGTTTTCATCTACCAAAGAAATACATCACTGTTCACTTGAAGACCCCTCACTTCAAGACCTGCCTATGGGGTAAGTTCAAGCTGCTACAACCAGATAGGAAAGATCTTTGCAGTAGTGATTTCCCAGCAGAAGTTGCAAGGTATGACAGGTTTCAGGAGGTTGCTGTAGCTCTAAATATTTTCATGCTGAAGTGAAAATAGTAATCATTTGTTGTCAAAAGACCACTGCCAGAGTGGAGAAGTAGGGAGATAATTGCTGGGTTCTCCTCTGTGTGTTACTACTTAAATGCAGTCACACAAAACGTGAGGACCATGCAGAAAGGTAGAAGAAAAGGATAAAATTCTGTTGCTTGTGCAACTATTGTCAGATTTTGCACAGAAAATTTCCTTCATATGCCATGATTACTTTGATTCAAAAGGAGCGAGTTTCAAAGACACAAGGGTGTTACTTCTATGTAGTATAGGAAAGCATCCCATAAATTTCAGACCAGTGCAATGTTTGCTTCAGTGAACATGCATGAAGTTGTTCCTCGGAGATCACTAGTTATCAGGGAGCTCTCATTGTAATCCACTTTTCTGTTACCATCTAAGCCAGCATTCTTAGTCTCTTCTCTTCAGGGGAGCCCCTGTCTTCAGTAGGACAAGTAGTAAGGAGCATTTGTACAACTCTGCTACACATCTTGAAAGACAAAACAGTATAGCCTGTACTTTTTCTTCACAGCAGTCTACAACTAATTTTTAAAAGCATCCTTAATTTCCTGCAACTGTTAGCAAGATCAGCGGAGCCTTCAGCAACACAAGACATATTAAGACATATATTAACCTCCAGCTTATAGTGTCTTGATGTAAGAAAGTCCTACTGCATAAAGACTCCCAGAGAAAATACAATGTAAAAAAAGTTAAGATGGATAGCATTATTTTAAAAAACAATGACTACTTACCCTTCCCTATGCAAGCCTCTAAGGAAAAGACAGTCGCAGACCCCTTCAAAAAGCATTCTTCCTTAAGAATAGCCATCACTTAACTGAGGAAGAGGTGAGGACTGGGGAGATTGGGGAGAAAAGAATTTTTAAGTCTGCATTTCCTGAGTCTTGGATGCACAGCTTCATATCTTAAAGAAAAAACAGTGCTTTATAAGCAAGAAAGCAAGCCAAGAAGAAAAGTGGTCACCAGCAAATGAAAACCTGAAAAGTTTTGAAAGACATCAAGAATAAAGTTTCCACAAAGAAGTGAGTCCACGAGTCAATCATCATATGTAAGCGATAGGCTATGGAAATATGTGTGAGAGCACCTTTGTTTTCAGACTTATTTCTTAGGGATATTACGAAATACTAAGCGATAATTCTCTGTATTAGAGTATTTGCTTCTCTGCCCTCCTCCCCAGGATTTTTAAAACCCATCAGTCAATCTCAACCAGATTTGCTAGAAGTAGAAACCTATAATCTATTAAGAATCTAACTAACAGCTACACAGACGAGAGAGATGTTATTCACGTCCTCAGTGGAGGAAAGATTAAAGCCTCAGCACAAATGTTATTTGACACCAGAACATCCAGATGGGAGAGAACTGTTAAGAATGTTCAGTCTAAGTCTGCATCTCATTCTAAGGCAAAAATAATACAGAAAGCCTTAATAAATTAAGCTCTGTTTTGCCCAGTATTCAAAAATCTACTAGAAATGTACTTTTTATGTTATACAAATTTTTCTTATACTGAACGCAGTTTACATGGCAATAGGTATGCGAGCATTCACATAAAACAAATGTAATAAATTCCCAGATAAAAATTCGGATTTGCACAGAGGGAGTGCAAGATGAAACAGACAGTGTGGGATACTGACAGGAATTTTCAGAAACATATATATATATTTTTATATATATTTATGTTTATATATTTATTACAGAAAATTCCACCTTCTGTTAGTTCTGGTTTCATTCCGGTGAATGAATAGTTCAAGATTAATATTCCTGTGCAAACGTGACTGAATATTGTAGGAAAATAACCGCTAAATGGCAGACCAAACCTGCCAAAGCATTGCCTGAAGATGCCATGTTAGCTGGCTGTCTCTGTAAGTGCTTAAGTCAGCACTATTAATATATAGGGAAGAAGGGCCCTATACGACCTGTTGCTCTTGCTGTGTAACAATTACGAGGAAGAAAATTAGGTTTCACATCCACAGACTATGTTGTGTACAATCAATGTAGTGTCTGGGAGACTGTATTTGGGAAGATGCTATGGAAGATACTGTGGAGATACAGGAATTCAAATGCACAGTACAATGTGCTTAGGCGGAGGAAGAAGTCCTCCAGTGTTACTTTAAACGCACTGATATTTGGTCTGTAGCCACATATACTCAAAACTTACTACACAGATTGATGCCGTCTATGTCATCAGCAAAATTAATTTTAAAATGTGCTTTATTATTTACACTTCTTTATGGACGCTTAACTTCTTTTGTGTAAAGATACTGCAGGGTTATCGTTCTGAGCCTTCCTAAGAGAATTAGGATAGTTCACATGACAGAGCATATAGAGGCTGCTTCAGTTTTCAATTCATGCAGGAATTACTGCATGATAGCTACACCATTAAAAATTGCTTTTGTATTTTTTCACTAATATGTTTCAAAATAGTCTCTTGTGAAATGTTCTTTCTGAGCTGTTGCTTCCTTGATGGTTCATTTTTTGATTGCTCTCTTAAATGCAAAATAGGCATCTATGAGATATGCAGTTAAAATGAGGACATAAACGGGGATTAGTTTAAAGGAGGATTATGTATGGGGATTCTAAATCTAACTAGGTAAGTAAGGAGTACAAACATAACCCAATGCATTCATTAGTCTGATCGCTAGAAATAATTTAACAGCCAGATTAGAAATGTCACTGGAATTGTTTTTTTACAATATGCACTTTTATCAGATGTATGCTAAAGAATTTCAACTCTATCCAAAGCGTCACCTTGACTAATTCCATATTCCACTTACTGCACAGGAAAACAAAGTCCCTTCCCCCAGGCCTATAACTACATTTCCTATGTTGGTGCAACTAGCCTGAAGAAAGGACATTTGGAAAATGAGTATGCAGGCTTTGTTGTAGAAAGTGTGACTATCTATCCCTCATTTACATAGATATGCTGATAGAAATAGAACAGAATATGAATAATTTTAATGACTAATTCAACTGATGCTTTGGATTTCTTTCTGTTCTGTCACATTATTTCACCACTGTGTGTGCTCAAGCCATTTTCTCTTCAATCCTGGAGATACAGGAAGCTTCTCTACCTCTCTACCTGGCCTGCTTTATCTCCCTAAGGTCATATCCTTAATAAAAGGCAATTATTCATAAAGATGCAATTATTACTAACGCACAAATGGATGCAGATGACATCAATCTGTAAAGTAAGTTTTGAGTGTATGTTGCTACAAACCAAATATCAATGCATTTAAAGTAACACTGGAGGACTAACACTGCATAATAACTGCACCAAACCCCAGAAGCTAGCTCTGTTTGTAAGCCAGCAGGCTTTCAGATCTCCAAGGCCCTTTCCCCGAGGTTGACTGATGAGCGTGGCTGCAGCAGCACTCATGCAGCGGCAGGATACACAAGCTGGCTGATCAGTACGACAAAGTGGGAGCTGAACTGGGCTGCAGCTGAGTCACATGCTGAAGGGCCTGGGTCACCTGCATGAAAATTAAAGTGGTGCTTTCTGCCTGATTTTGTCCCAGCGGCCATTATCATGCTAACATGAAGTCTTTATATGAATACCGTTTTCAGAGAGAAGTAGCATATATATTTACACATATGGAAAGGGACTTTCATTCCACAGGTTATTTAGGAACTTTCACATACTTTATTTGCTTCTTACTATTCCTAACTGATGGTATGTCTCTACCTGTCCAGCTGCACTGAAACACTGCTGCTGCCTTTTGAAATTCTGTAAAACTGTGGCCATCTTCCTCCATGGATGCATGGGCAAAGCATTTTATACTTCAGACAGTAGTGTAAGTCTTACATCTATACTAAGGACCAAGGGAGGTTAGTATGATACCTGTGCAACCTTTTTGTTTGTAGTGGAAATGCTGCTATGTAAACTGCAGGCCAAAATTTTAAAATGAAAACAAATCACTGAATTATTTGGATAGTTAGAGCATGTATTATTGCACTAAGGAGGTGGGTAGAATGAAGACGACTACCTTCCTTCTTCTGATGTAGATGATTATAAATAGTATCCTTTTTAAATGGTAGAATCAGTCAGCAAGTTTAGTTTTTCCAGCTGTGTTAGCTTTTTTTAGTGCTTCAACCTGAGAGCTATTTTTACAATGTGTTTAAGTGAACAGTTTGAGTGATGAAAACTGCAGATGAATCTGAAGACAGCCTAGCAGCCGAATCTGTTCTTCCTGACTGAGTAGTCACCTATAGCATTTGGTTGTATTTTACTTTATATCCCCTTGAACAGTATCATATAGGCCAGACTAGATTACATTTTCCTTTCTGGCTGCATTCTCAGAATAAATTGACACAGACTCTTCATGCTTTTGGAAACAGTTCAAAAGTGATCTAAGACCATTTTCAAGATGTATCATAATACACAACTCACATTTTGTACTTTTCTTGTACATAATCTCATTCACTGGAAAAATATGCAAATGTTTGCATATTTATATCTAATGTTTTAAATAATTACAGTTGGATGGAGAAGAACTTTCTTTTAAATTCTCAGTATACTTTCCTCATCCCAGTTTAATAGGAGAAATAATTTCTCAAGGATATAACTTTTTAGTCTGCAAAGTCTAACTGTATTTGAGATTTTTATTCTCACGCTTTAGAATATCCACTAAAGTAATAAAAAAAATTATTGCAAACTGATAATCCTACATAAGCCATCCTCATATTTCAAAAGTGTATCAGACTAGATAATTATATTATTCTATAATACAAAATACACATAATACACAAGAATTTCTTTAATAGCAAAAGCAATTTATAGATTAGCCATTTCAGAAATAGAATATTAGAAATTCAGTTAGGAAAACCAGCAAGATACAAACTCTGTTAACTTCCCATAGATTGTTTTATTATTATTTCCCTGGCTGTATAGCTTGGTAATTAAAGAAATACTGTAATGAGTATCCAAGAAAGTCCAATAAAGTGTTTTTAAGTAATTTTTTTTAACTGAAAATCACTCAGTTTGTACCCTAAATGTTTGCAACAGAAGATGAAGAATGAACCTAATGATTCAGAAATTGTTTAGTATTCTCTTGGGATATTTTGGCCTTCCATAGGAAATGCTTCCAAATTACTAAGGGCATTTCATAGTTCTTTTGCAAAAAGTGTACACTTTTGATTTTAAAAATTCAATATATTTGTGAAGAGTGGTAATTTCAAATAACCTTTCTTTTTCAAGTCACCCATATTCATTTCAGATCTAGTGCTGCATGTAACAGCTGATGAAGTAGCAGCTGTTGAACAGCTAGCTGTAGGACATCTGAAGAAAATGTAAAATCATCAGGAGAATGTTTTTAGGCTCAAGCTTAGGCTATGCTTCATAACTATATTTCTCTCAAAAAAGAAAAAAAAAGTACTTCTTGCTGCAATCAGCATATATTTTCCGTCTTGAATGAGATGCCCCATTTGAATTTCTTTTTTGTGTGAATACTATCACCAGCACCCTTCCCTGGGTAGGGAGAAGACATAACTTTTCTTACCAGAACTTAATGTACAGCTTTGTACAACTCTACCTGGTTATGATTAATGACTTACCTGTCGCATTTTCATAAGGCCTGGAACTTCAATACATCAGGAAAAACGTTGGCCTCATTGAAGTCCATAACACAATTCCCATTGACTTAAGTAGGTCCAGCATTTCATCTATTTGTCCTTTATTTCACATTGTTCTTGATTATTTGTTTGCTTGAGTATTCACAAGATTATATGACATGAAAAATAAATATTTTTACCTAGTCATATCCTTTTACATAAGCTGCAAACAGCTTTTGTTTCTTCAACATAAATGTTTTTGCTATGCACAAAGAAATCTGGGTTTCAAATACCGAAGTCACAATCATCTGAAAGCAACATACTGAGTTAATATTTACTTCTCTTATAATGCTTCAGATACATGCACAAATATATGTCTGTAAATTTCAGTATTTATTTATTCCTATACTTAACATAAAAAATGCATTTTTAATATTTGATTGTGCCGTGAAAGATTAAGTGTAGACAATTTCTAATCTAAAGATTAGAAAAATTTCAATTTTTTTCTGAGACTGAAAATTCTTTAAACACTCTACTAGAGATCACAGGTAGCAAGCCGATTTCAGTGTCCCAGTCACTTTTCCAGATCTGGTTACTATGGAAATCTAATACTAAGTAGAATGAATCTAAGTAATACTAAAAGGGATAAGAGATATAAAGGGGACAGAAAAGGCTTTTCAGCATGTTTTTTCCTTTGGCCCGTTGTGAAGTGTTTTACAGGTCCGCGCTACAGAGTGAGAAGTAAGACCACATGGATGTAGCAACCTTCTCTGGCAGTACTACTCTCCTCTTGCAGGTCAGTAAGACTGTATTGTTCACCCTCTATGACAACATCGGCACCAAACACACAAGTAAATTATGAAAAAAATAAACATAACCCCTAACCTGATGCAACATTACTACTTGATGTTCTACATGCAGTCAGGTCCTTTGTCTATAGCTGTTTTTGCACAATTGTATCCTTATGCCCATGTTTCCCTCCATGGAATGTATTGGGTTTCAGAGTGATCCACTTAGCTAACCGTTTGTTCTGAAGCAACCTGCCACCTTACTAACCAAAATGCCTATTACTAAAAAGATTACCAAACATGAAACTGCAAAAACAAAGCAAACAAAAAAAAAAATTCAAATTTCTCTAATGCACCAGGAGACAGTTTGTACTCGGGCTGAGCTTTTGACTTCATTTCCCTGTACGTAAAAAGAAGGTTTACATGCAAACTTATTTTAAAGAGGCTTGGGAAGCTCATGTCATAGTAGAATATTTCAAAATCTTGAGTGGAAAGAATTATACAACTATCATAAGATAATAATACAGCTATGTAAGATATTACACTGGTAATAATGTCCAAACTCTAACATTGTATTAGGATGTGTTTTACCTAGCTAAGGAAAAATTAAATATGAAAAATTAGATAAAACTTTGATCCCACAGAAAAGAGACTAACTGATACAAAATTTTACTATATAGTAAATCGCATGCTGAAAAGCCTCACAGAAATCATAAATCCCTGATGCTTGGTATATTGTATGCAACATCAGTATACTGAGGTTCTACTGAACCCCAGCAGCATTGCTTAACTGTCCCTAGTATATTAGTAATGGTAGGTTCATTCATATCATCAGAGAACACATTATCTGACCTGAGAAATCAGGCCCTTGCAAAAATGGGGCAGTTAATATCTCTTTAGAGTGTGATAGGCCTCTCATGCAGAAGAAAGGTACCAGAGCTGCAAAAGAGATTTTTACCTGAGCAGCCTGATTATATCACGATTTAAGTGCTTGTTATTTCCAGTTAAATGCTGGGTTTGTCAGGAGATAACCATGTCAAACGGTGGGTAATAACTTGTATATGTACACATACAGATGACCTAAAATAGAAAAACATATAAACAATAATATTTAAACAATAATATTTAACTATAACTGTCACACAGAGTAGATCAGCAGCTGAAACTGTAAACAGGCATACTAGAACCCTGAGAGCAGTCTTACAGAGGATATCCAAGGAGGTTTGCAGAATCCTATTTTATGCTTTTATGTGCAAGATGCATGAACAGACAGATAAAAAGTTGGCATGTTTCATCTACACTCCAACCTTACTAGGGCTAATGGACTTTGGGCAATCAATAAAACAAAATGGTGGTTGAATTTTAACACTCTCCTTAGGGGAGTGAATAATAAAACAGAAAACCTTCATGTTTGACCCTGCTCCAAGAGAACCCCCCTTCATTTTATGTTAAATTAATATTTAATGTAATGCCATTTAAAGATTGGTGGTACGCACTATCATTTAGTAATACCAATTTTATTTCAAATTGATTTTGTATGCTTCAGCTTATTGTCATATTCATTAACTACATTCACTGCAATGAGAATGTACCACTAATCTGTTTTGTTTGGATTATTTTTCCACAGTTGAACTACCTGGGAAGAAGTTTAGTGCACTTTCTGACTTTTATAAATAGGCAAGTTGAGGAAATCAATTTCTGAATCAAAAGAGTGAACTTGAGATTACCCTCCCTGCTGTTAACATAGGCTAAAAAATAAAAATAAAAAAATAAAAAAATAAAAAAAAGACTGACGTTCTAACAAAGTGCCAGGCTGCTGGTACTTACCACTACTTACCATGATTCACAAATTGATTTTCTGGCCTTACATATCTTTAAAAAACAGTTGGGCTTTTTAAATACCATCATTTTTCATAAGCTGATGAGTAAGACCGAGATTTAGAGCTTCCCAGCAAACATTCCTGCCATGTGCCAGTTCTCAAAAGCACATGGTTATGAACTCCTCGATTTTGTTTTTCCTCTGTATGTATGTGGTATATAAAAATCCCTAAGACTCCCAGAAGCATTCATTTTCCGTATTTCTGCATTCACATGAAGATTCTCGTCCTTTGGCATTTCTTTTGGAACGGAAGCTAACAGGACTCTCCTTCACAAGTACAGTCTGAATCTGCAACATAAATTATGTCTGTTGCACCAAGTTATGCATTTTATTTAGTCAAAATACGAGTAAAAGCGATAATAGTATAACCTTCCCTCATCCCTCCCAGACATTCTGCTTAAATTTGTCTTGATCTGAAGAAAATTCAGAATACAGACTGGAAGGTAAAATGAAGTTAAATATTATAGGCAGTCTCAGCCCCATCTACAAAAGCAGATATGAATCCTAGGCTACTCAAGATTCAGATACTACATGTACAGGCTTGAGTGCGTGGGTGAAGCAGCACCTTTAGGAGGACCAGATGTCCCCCTGTATCTTATGATCTTAAATGCTCAGTTCAAAAACCTATTAGAAAAATAGCACCTTCCTAATCTGAACTAACCATGATCATAACAGAGTTTCATTCTGAAGGACTCTCAAAACAAGAGGCACAATTTAAATGTTGATTATCTTGAATATAAGGATTTCTGTACTGGACTAAGCAAAAAGTAGCACAGAAAAGATAAACAATGTTGTGATAACAAGACTTCTGTAATGTTTACGAGACAAGCTAAACATCATCAACATCTCTGTCATGACTTCTCTCGAGACAGCTTGCAAAAAGGAGTTTAAATTTTATATAAATTATTTTAAGAACGAAATATTGATTACACAATTTACTATTAGAAAAACAAGCCCGAGTAGAAAACAATGGCAGGTTCTCGATTGATAATTTATATTTTAAATAAAAATTGTCTTTACCAAACTATAATCTCATCATTTCAGTGAAGACCTGCCTTCTATAAACTATCACTATAGGGCTCTTACTAATTTTATTACAAAGCAGAAACTCTACAAACTCTTTTTACAGGCAGGTGCTCTTACTGAACCATTGACCAATTTTCTACTTCTCTCAGTAACTGTTCTGTAAAAAGTAATAGCTCTCCCCTTTCAGAAGGACTTTTTCCCCATTAAATTACAATCTCAATCTCTGAACATAAGTGAGTATTCTCTGTTCTACTCATTTAATGCTAGTAACAGGTGTTTGAAAGTGATATGGCAAAACACTTAGATGTCTGAACATCTGGAAATAAAGCCTATATATTGTTATGGTATCATTACATATTTAGTCAATTTTAAAAAATATAGCTCTATCTATGCAGATTCTGTGGAGTTTCTGATTTTAAACTGGAGGCATCAAACATCTTGTTTATAAAGGGTTCACCAACAGTTAATATTCCCCATCATCATTGTTTCAGCCACAACAGCATCCATGATTCTTTACCTTTAATTGGGAAGGTTGTCTACTTAGCCACGAAAGCCAGTAATACTCTCGCATGCCTCTGTTCGGTTTTGTTGTTGTTTTATTATTTATCTAAGTTCAAACTGTGCAAGGTGTGCCGGGTCTGATTTGTACTGTTTGCTTTGATAATCCCTGTTTGAACCCTTTAGGCCCTGTTTTTTCCACAAAATATATGATGTCAACTCCCAAACCTCTCACGATCTCACAAAGGAAGCATTGCTCAGAACTCTTTCACTGAAATTACCTTCTATCTAATAAATTCAGTCATTATGCAAGATGCTTTGAACATCCTAGGAAAGTTCCTTACAAACCACCATTTGGTGTAAGTAGAAAAGGGATGGAGTGTGGATAAGGAATAATGGAAAAATAAGTAGAGATTTTAGTGAAGCAAGCAAGAACTCATTCAAATTCTTCTTATTCTATTCATCATCTGTTTCCACTACACTATCTAGGAGGGGAGGGTGGGTAAGGAGGGATCCAACGTCTCCAAAAACTTAGATTGAGGAGAAAGATCATCCCGCACATCACACAAACTAACGACGACCATAATATCACTTTTAATTTGGGCCTTGCTAGTCACACTAAGATTACTCTTCTGCTTCACTCTTCAAAAATTTAACAGCGGAGACTCTAAATGGAAAAATACAGTTTCTCTCTTCTTGTCCCATCACAGCACATCAATACATCAATACAACAGAAAAAGTACTAGAAGTACAGGTGAACTAATATTAGCTCTTAAGTATCTATAAAAACATTGTAGAAGAAATATATCCTGAATCAAATTTCTCCTTTGTGAATTTAAGTAAATACCATAAGGAGTGAGGGGAAGAGTAGACAGCATACAACTTAGCACTCTCATAGCTTCTAATGGGCCCAACAACCCACAGCATCGTCTTCCAAGTTACAGAAAATTAAGCTTTGAGTTACAATATTTCCCTTATATCCATTAAAAGGTGCTAGCATTTTGAGTTTAAACTGTAAACTGTTTAAGGTCAGGAAAAAAAAATGTTTCCACTCTTTTACTGTCAAGGAACAACATTAAGACATTTTCTTAGGCTTCCTACGAACTGGTTTTATAGTTTGCAAAACACAGAGAGATATCTAACTTTGTAAAGGAATCTTGGGATGCACAGTGGCAAAACAGCAAATCTTGGAGCTTCAAGGTCATGAACCCCGTTGCATAATACAGTCACTCTGACTACATAGTTACTGTTATTACAAAAGTCAGATCTATCTTGCATATCAAGACCAATCTTTTGCCTAGCCTTAGAAAGTTTCATCTGGTTATTTGCATCGAGGTTCTGAGCAGCAGCAACACTGTGCATTAGAGGATAGAGAGAGGTATATAAAAACAGCAGCTGATTCATTACAATCACTTGTCTAGATGTAGATAAATACACTACAGAGCCAGTTCCTTTAAAATGAGAATCATGTCCCAAAGAGTCAAATGTGGATCCTTGCTGTTATGTTTTGCTTTCTAGAACTGTTCTGTGTAGCTGATACCAAGCAGTGACTTGGCATGTTGGTCAGTGGGTAACAGGCTTAAGTTTTAACACCTGGAAAAGTCAAAGCTTCAGGAAAGACCAGGGCATATTGAAGACTCTTGTCTCATGACAGTTTCTCAGGTATTCTGCATCTTATAAAACAGTGCCATTTTGTCAAACATTTGGTGTTGCTTCTTATGGCTCTAGCTTGAAAATTTGATAGATGTTTCAATTGTAATACACAATGACCTGACAGACATCTGTCAAGCCCAGACATACCAGAAGCAACGATTTGCTGTGGCTGGTTTGGAACAGGATGATTGATCAGATATTCTCTTTTTCTATGACCTCCTGTAGAAGTCACATGCACCTTGTCTGCAAACTACATCTGCTTATTCATCTTCAGCCAAACTCAGACCTCTTAAAATTCAGAAAAGTACCACAGGTATAATGAAGAAAGCTACCATGGTAGTGCAGATCCAGGGGAGAGAAACAATGATCTTTTTCTAGTAATAATATCACAAATATTTTGCAAAAGTAATTTCAATGTTAGACCATTAAGTATCAAGTGCAGAATTTTGGGTTCTTCCTCATTCTGGTAAAGCTTTTAAAATTTTAAATATATCCTTGCTTGCTGTGTGTTTGCGCAGTACTTTTTTTTTTTTTTTAACTTGCAAGGTTAACTATTCAAAAGCTGACTTGCTAAATCCTGAAGCTTTTAAGCAATTCAAAATTAGCTCATGTACTACTTTGGACATTAGGGATTATTGGAGTCACAGGTTATTTTGTCATTTACTTCACTGGTAATAAGTCTAGTCTCTAACACTGGTCAATATTGAAAGAATGGGTGGCCAGGCCACTATGCTTAGTGAGGTTGTTATTGAAAAATTTGTTTAGGCATGCTTCTAATTTTTGACAAGTAGTCCCACTGAAGCCAATTCTTGTTTAAAGATAGCAATGTGATTCAGGACCTTGCTGAATCAGAACCTAAAAGAGTTTCATCTCAATCCACAAGGCCAGCCATAGAGAGACTCTAGTTTAAACCACTTACAAATGGTGGTAATGAATTTTTACATCCACTCTGTATCTAGGGACAAATGATTCTCAAGACAGAGACACTGGCAAATCGGATCCCAAAACAGTTGATTTCCCCAAAGTCGTGCTTTAGTTTAGTGACAGAAATAGGAACAAACCTGATTTCCCAATTAGCAATAGCAAGAAATGAAATACACCATCTCCTCTTCTGTTTTCCTTCCCTTCATTTCTGTTCTGTGTTAACTGCCTCCTACCACTTTCTCCTGCAAAAAGATTATATGAAAAACATACAGAAAGTTGAAGGACTGACTTTTTTTTTTTTTAAACTATGCTTAGAAGAGGTTTACAATTAAGTACTAACATTGCAATCAGGAGTCATCTAAGTACATTCAGCTCTCTTAAAAAAACATTAAAAAATGTATCCACCAGTAAATTCATGCTGTCCTTAGTATATCCTGTTAGTGATAAGCTCTTAAAAACACCAGCCTAATGTACTACCCTTCATTATTACTTTTTGCCTCACAAAACATTTGTTTTACATCTATCAAACCATTTAGTATTAATTTATCTCTGTTTGAGATCACATTTAGTACTCCTGGAAGAATAATTTATTGTTCATTGGATATAGCATATGGCACAGTCAATAGAAAAATACAATTTCTCAATGTTTTACTTCTTTAAGGGCTATACTTGCCTCCCTTTTTTTTCCTGTATCTTTACTTACAGGGTTTGAGCTCGCACTATCAGGACTGCTGCATTCACAGTGTCTCTCTCCAGATGATTTTTTTTTTTTTTTTGGTCAATACCTCTGGATCTTCTAATGGACCTGATTGATCAGGAGACAAGGCAGCTGACACTTTAATTCCACACTACCTTGTCCATGCTACTTAGAGTCTGTTGAAATTCCAAAACATCCTACTTTTCACTAAAACAGAACCCCAAACCTGTAAATTTTGCTCCAAAAATATCCAGTTTTCATGTTTTGATCATATCTGAAAACAGGAAGTGGAGAGAAAGCAGTATTAGTTGAAAAAAAACCCAAACTTTCAAATTAATATTATTGTTCACTTATACTGCAGAAGAAATTCAGGGGAGGGGTTTAAATGAAACAAGGGTCAGGTGTTCAAATTCTCCACAAGTAGCTTCCTGATTCCACTTATCCACAAAATTAGATTCTGTAATAAAACCCTCCTCTCAGTCAGGCAAGGATTAAGGTAAAAACAGGAAGGGGTAGCGAGCTGGGAAGCTTTTCCCCAAGTTAAAAGAAAGCACCAGGTGATCCTAGTAGCTTCAGACTCCTCCTTTGTCAGGCAATAACCTCCTTAGTTACAGAAGCACCTAGTAACTCGGGAGTGGGCAAATGCAGTCTGACAAATGCAGTCTTGATCCAACTGCATTTAAGCGTGAGATTAACATTGAAATCACTATTTCTTCTAATGCTGAAGGAAATCCTCCTTCACAATATAGTCTACTAAAGACAGAAGAAGTTCTCTCCAAACGTATGCAGGAAATCTTCCAGATATTAGTGCAGTGAGTGCTTGCAGCTGTGTAAGGACTCTGCTGGTATGTAATACTTTACAGTACTGCTCCTTCAAGCATTCCAGACATTTTTAAAAGATCCTCTTCCTTTTCTCTGGAGCCAAATATTTTTAAATATCTATTTTGCAAATGCATGTCATACAAAATACAGCCATGATACAAAATTTGTTTTTTCATCTTTATTAATCTGTGACTCTCACTAATAACCTACTCAAACTTACCAAATTTGATGGCTCTGCATTATTTGCCTTTTTTTTAAACTAGAATTTTCCTAATCTCAGGTATCGTTCAATATCCAGTTAGGAAAAACTTTATATGATTCCTCCAACACTTTAATGAGCATAGTTAAGGCATTTGTTAACACTTGTTTAAAAGTTAATATCATGTAATTACTATGTTTTCCCAAATCTCTTCAGGCCAGCTTGGAGCTTGTAGTGGCCCTCTGCTAAATCAGCTCTTGAGAACCAGAGTGGCCCCTGCTCCAAAATTTTCCCCAAACCTGGAGCAACAGGACTGCAAATTTCCCTGGAAACTATAAGCTAAAACTTTTAATTCTGCAGAACAGTGTCTTTGTTCTGCTTTAGACATCCAGATTGACTAATTAATGAAAAATAAAATCTGGACTATCACCTGACCCTGACAGCAGATTTTTTTCACTTCATACCTAGTTTTCAGATTGCTCTTATCACAGTGAATGGATCTGCAATGCACACTGCAGTTTCAGTAACACTTACCATGGATTGCCTACAGTGAGTACCTGATTATGCCTAATTTTCTCTAAACAAAAGGCTTTGCCTGAGAACACTGTAGTAATGTAAAGTGTGATCTTTCATGTACTCATATTTTTTGTGGAGAATTAAAATACTGAAAGGACTCTCGGAGCATTCTAGTTCACCCTGGAAGCATGAAAAAGGAGATTAAACACTTTGAACCACATGTAAAAAAAGGATATAATCAGATTTTTTTTAAAGCTTTGGATATCTTCGGTGAGAGTCACTGTTTTCAGTCTCTCAGTTCTACTTCACGAAGGCCAAGTGCAAACTACTCTGTTTGCTTCAGGTCTGAGGCTTCCCCCTATGTGTGAAAAGTCTCACCCTTGTTCTTGCAGAAGTCATGGAAGAATCCCCAGGTGTGAAGCACCAGCCAGGCTGATGCTCTAACAGCTTCACAAACAGAATCCTTTGCCTTAGCCAAACCTATCACTATCGAATATTCTTGATACAGTTTCCTGAGTTATGGCACTGCAGGACAAGTAGGGTCCCTAAAGCATTCATTGAATACTCAGAAGTATCTATTACATTGCCAGCCCATCAAACTCCTCATGAGCATCTACAATCAACAACAAACTACAATGCGAACGCCAGTAGGGGAGAACGGTTTTGCACTACGGATAAAGGGAGATAAGGGTGCATTCTATTCACAAGCTTTTCAAAACACACACATTTATTGCAGTACAAATCTTTGGAAGATATGAAAAAATGAAAAGAACTATGATTTCCACTGCTCAGTATCTCTCAACCATCTTCTGAATGCTGATGACATAACACTATTTGTTACAACCCTTAGTGCAACATAACAAATATGGCAGTGACTAAGGGGAGGTAGTAGGAGTATGAATTATCCCTGAATAGTCACTGACTCAAAAAAGTTTGTATGTAAAAATAGAATGCCCCTCAGTATCACAACCAAGATGCAAGTTGCAGAGGTGACAGCTAAAATTGAGTTTATGGTGTCATACACTGTTTGTCAGGCAGGACAAAATGAAGGGTATATAGAAGACAGTGTGACGAATTTCAGAAGTAGTTTCTAACTCTGGAAAGGCAGTCAGACATCTTAAAAGGAAGTTCACTCAAACTAGATGGTAATATGGCAAAGGGAATATAACATGTTTCGTGAGGGAATTTAATATTTTTATGGAATGTATATTTAAGTTATATGAATATTTTATCAAAATAGCTTGGAGTTGTAGAAGTCCATTAAGTTGTTGGATTTTTTTAATACTGAGCCAATTTCAGAAATCAATCATTCAAGTTGGTCCCTCACTGTTCTCAACTGTTAATCCCATCAGATGTGGGAAAACTTAACTCTAGTAGCATACTATTAATTAGGAATAATATAAATCAGTGCTGAGTATTTAGACTGTTTTATCTGCAGAGAATTTGTCCTTGCTGAAATTCAAACCATGCTGAAGATATCTGCTATGATACCTTCTACCAAAGCAAAATCTGTTGACCTTTGGTAAAGGATCCAGTCATACCTAATACTTAAATCTCCTTATGCAGTAAACAGAGAAAAACATTTTCTTGCAATACTAGAACCACTGGATGTAGATCATAACTCACATTACTTCGAGATTTAGTAAAATGAAAGTAGATGAAGCCAGAAATATTCTGTTATGCAACAGAATGGCTCCAAACACTTCCTGGGTGACTTTCACATGAAAATTAAAATATATGGCGAGCTCCCCAAATGACCATAAAATCCTATTTCCACCCACTCAGTAAGAGTGAGCAAATATTTCTAAAGTGGCCTTGAAGATACCTGTAATATATGACAGGATGGAATATGCCAACTTGCATCTGTAGGCAACAGGAAGATCTTACATTTTGTATCAAAGACTTTTAAAGTAGGTATTTTTATTTATATATATATATATAGATAGATAGATAGATATAGATATATATATGCACCTTCACCTTTAGGCACAAATACTACAGCTATATACATAACATACTTCATATACCACCTGACCTAAGGTTAATAATATCTTTTGATCAGGTATCCTAACACAAAGATAAAATCACCTAAACTGTCACACTCCAAAACAGAAGTCGAATCTTTCCAAGTCGGAGAAAATATAGCCACGATCACTTTTAATTTCAGCAGATAAAATTCTCTATTTGCCTTTGAAAATTTCAGCTGAAGAAAATTAAATGGCTCTACATTTAATTACATATAAACAGTAATTAAATATTTTTAGCCAGAAGATGAACCGCTTAGGAGATCACGTGTGGTTTAGTTAGAATTTTGTTGGACTAACTGGTGTGGATGAGAGATTCATCCCACCTTTTTCTAGGAAAGTAGAATTGAGATGTTTTTCTTTCTATCATCCTCCGCTTTCAGTTAAAACATTTTCCTGATGACTTCTAGAAACTTTCCGAATAAGCAATTGAATTTAACGACTTTTAGTGTTTCCAAAGGAACTGCAGCACAGTATGCAGTGAGCAGCTTTCACAGCTGAATGGGTATTCTACAGGAGTTTCTACAAGGGTTTTCTTAGCAACAAAGCAACATTAATGGAAATGCACCTCCAGAAAAAGAAAACTGTCAGTCTGTAATTTGTGTATGTTTTAAACAAGTACAGTTGTACATTTGGACTCACTTTTGAAATTGAAAGGAGTTGGCACATACTCTTAGCCTGTATAGAATTACTATACCTATAATATAAAATGAACAAGTGAGACATGAAAAGAGCATTGAGACAGAAACCTCAGCTGATTAAATCACTTCTTCTTGCCCAAAACCAAAACTAGAAATACCTCCTCTTCATCCAATAATAATCTAAGAGAACTCACAAGACAGTTGGCAAAGAGCGTGGGAAGAAAAGAAGTCTTAAAATCATGATTCTTGAGTGTAAATAAAAACAAATAATTGCTCTAGCATCCAGCTCAATAAAAAATTAAACTCTCAATATTTCATTATAAGGTTATGCAGAAGATACATA